TTCCGATCTGAGCGGAGCGGCCAGAAACGCGAAAATCACGGCGCGTTTTTGACCTACCCTTCATTAAGGGTAAGTTTGTCTTTCCGTTGGGCTTTATTTGCCCTAATTTTCCCCTCTCTCTCGCGGAAGTCTTGCTATTCTCACGTCTCCACTCCCTCTCCTCTCTCTCTACTCTCACTGCCTCGCACTCCCTGGACGATCGTTTTTTCAGTCGTCCAGAAAAGTCTTTTAAAATCCTACGAAATCCTAAACCAATACACGCCCCTAAGTTTAATTATCGTGCCAACTTGACATTAGTTGTTCATGATATATGCATTTGTTAAAATATTCAAGAATTTATGAAAATAGTCTTATCAACAAATAAATTATGAAAATACGTTAAATTACTCTTTTGATTTTTAATTAAAATAATTTAATTTAATTATTCTATTTTAAAATGTTTAATTTGATTTTTTAAAATAAAAATATTCAATATTATTATTTTATTTAATTTCACGTCTATTTGAACAAAAGTGAAATATTAAAATTTTAGTTTATTATTTTAATTTAATTATTCTATTTTAAAATGTTTAATTTGATTTTTTAAAATAAAAATATTCAATATTATTATTTTATTTAATTTCACGTCTATTTGAACAAAAGTGAAATATTAAAATTTTAGTTTATTTTATCGAGTTTTTGATATGTAAAAATAAGTTAAATTACTCTTTGATTTTTAATCTAAATAATTTAATTTAATTCTTCTATTTTAAAATGTTTAATATAAATTTTTTAAAATTAAAATATTCAACATTGGTTATTTTATTTGATTTCATTAACGTCTATTTGAACAAAAGTGAAATACTGAGTTTTTTTAAAACTAATAGACCAAATTAAATGTTTTAAAAATAAAAAAAAAATCAAAACTTAGATAAGAAGTAGAAGAGTAAATTAACGTATTTATTACCTTTTCATCAAACTAATTTATTATTTATGCTATTTGGATAAATTTGATTTTTCTTAATAGATGATCTCCTTTTCCACGTGTGGTTGTTCTATTTTTAATTTCACATTTTTTCTTTACCTTTCAAATAATGAATGTTGTGTGTAACAATCTTGCTAAGAAAATTAACCTTTCTTTTATGAATTTTGTTGGTCATCATTTTAAGAGTTGTTTGGATAACTTTTGTTCAATCAATCTAACCAAGAACAATCTGATCGTTTCATTAACTTTAAAAACCTTGACTTATCTCAAAATTGGTTATATATATATATATATGTCAAATCAACCTAAAATTGAGAACAAAATACTACGATTTTCTATTAAAAAAAATCATCTTATTGATGTGCACCTATGATATGCACGACAAAAATCAAACTTTAAGTTAATTTCTAAAGAATTTAACTAATATATATGATAGATCTTATTAGTTATGTTATATTATTTTAATTTAATCTAAAACAATTATAAGACAAATAAATAAATATCTTTTTAAAAATTACACAAAATAGTATATAGTATATAGTATATCTACTACATTTAAAAGGGATCATGATTTCTTATAATCATCTGTTCCAAAGCTATAGTTTCTAATAATAAACGATATTATATCAAAAGCATATACAAGAGCAAGCAACAGTGGCATTACAACTCTATAATAGCTACCTGGAAAACTTGGATCTCTCGCACTGTCAAGCGTAAAAATTGTATCGAACAACTAGGATGAATGGTTTTTCTAGCATTAGCATAACTGATAAAAATCCCATACTACATTAAAAAAAAAAATTCTATAATAACCATTCCCAAGCGTACTGCAACTTTATCCATTTATATGTCTGCTGCAAGGAAGTTACCGGACAGTGCTACCTGCATGAAAATAAATAGTGACTTATGCAATAAAAGATACCATCAAAGAAATGACACCACCAAACAGTTATAGGCCTCATTGACTAAACCTTTTTAGAAGCACTTATAGGAGAATAAAATAAAATAAAAAATTAAATAAGTTTCTTTATAAGTTAAAATTAGTTTATATATAAGTTAAAAACAAGATTTTGAAAAAAATTAATAGGAGAAAGCTTCTAGAAATAGAGAGATAGAGGGAGAGAAAGTACCTTCTCGCCCAATTTGAAGGCAGGCAGTCCCTTGTAAGGGCAGGTACTGCACCTAAAAGCATCCCCGAGCCCACACTGCAGACCAAAGACAACTTTGAGAGCAATGCCAATTATGGGAGAAAATTCTGAAATCCTATTAGAGGACTGATTGATATAATAGAGGGTGATTATTCATAAATTGTAGCTCATAGATACTAGCCATGCTGATCATTTCAAATTAATTTTAGACATCTTGTTTCATCAATGCTGGAATGTTGATCAAAATTAATGTTCAATTTAGCTTTGGCTTTACAAATAAGCACTGTAGGCAAGATATGAAATACAGGTGGATTTATAACCTAAAACAAAAGTTCTTCCTCAATAGGTGAGCTTGGCTACACGAATTTATATAGTCATTTAAAAATCATAACCAGCTTTCGTAGCTAAATTGAAAGAAACGGCAGTAGGACATTAAGCACTTTTTCCATTCATAAGCCTTTAAATCCATATTCCTGAGCAACATGCAACAAGAAAAGAAAGGATTTATGATACAGCACTAGCTCTACTATTTCATGAAATTTAATTTACCTGGCATGAAATGGGGGAGGGGTTATTTTAACCCTCCTGTGCTTCTATATACCATCTAAACTAAACAAGATAGCTATCTAACCAAACAATTGTAGAACTATTAAACAGTTTAGAACTTTTTACCTAACATGTGCAGAAAGCAAAAGTGAATTCTTATTGAAAACAGCCTTAGAAAGCATAAGTAGTGCAAAAGAAAAAAAACATACATTGCCACAAGCTGATTGAGGATTATTAATCTGTTCTGCTGTCAATCCTAACTTCAATACTTTTTCCTCTTCTTCAGCCCTCCCACAAGTGCAATTTTTGCAGGCTTTTCTTGTACTCCCAATTTCACAATCACCTATTGCATAAACATGTCAAGCCAAGAGCCTAATATCACACAAATACTAGTTGAGAAACGTCAACTTAAAAAAGTGTTCCTTACCAGGTGGCAGCTGGGGTTTCTTTAAATCTTCTTCAGTTAAAAGACTATCTTCATCAATCAGATCTGAATCAACATCAATTTGCATTTTAGGTGAACTCTTAATCACCTTCTTTAGTGCAAAAGACGAACCAATTTTCCATGAAGGCTTTTTAGCTATGATCTATGTGCAATACAAATCATATTGATAATTAGAATTTGTATGATGGGCACAACAGTTAATTAGAAAAGAAAGAAAAAGAATAAATTTTGATGACTCATGGCCATATTTCACTCATCAGGCAAACGGAGGACAAATTGGGCAGAAGAAAAAAGAAGATTAACTGAAATTAATGATTGTGCTCAGTGAAAAAACATTAACTTGACAATAATAGTCGCTAAATACCAGTAGAATGGGTTTCAAGACACATGTCAGACTATTATTCAACTTGTCTGACCTAACCAAGCATAAAACAATAAGAAAATGATGAATTGAGATGCCAGAGGAGATACCAGTTAATGAAACTTACCCCAGTTGATTGTAAAACTTGTGTTTCTGAAAACCCAGCCAACAATAACCTGTTCTCAAGATCAGATATTATCTGCAATGACAACGGGGGAAATAATTAGATCATGCAGAAAAACAATATAAATTCACTCAGGCATATTCTAAGTTGTTATTACCTTATCAAACGAATTCACAGAAGACTGAGAAGACTTGCGAATAAGAATTGTACCACCTACTTTTAACACTCTAAGGATTTCTTGAACCAGTTGGTCCACAGGACAATCAATTGACAGCCAGATTAAAATCACAAAATCAACAGATGAAGAATCTACCGGCAACTTGCCTGAAATTTGCAACAATAGGTGATAAAAAATGGTTTCTTCAGCTACAATTCAATAAAAATGATATAAACACAACTGGGAAATTGAGCATTTGCAAGGGAAATTTCAACTTCCATCCAATTTTTTTCCAAGAAACAATAACTATGGGTTGACCTATGTTTAGAGGAATCAGAAAAATACAGGAAGGACTGCCTATTTCCAGTTTTCTTGCAGTTCATGCATTTCTTTGCCAAAACAAATGGTTGAACCAGTGGTCTGTAATAGATCCTAAGTTGAAGTAGCTAATATAAAACATTGAAATTTATCCCATTTACTGTAACAGATAAACTAAGCAAACAAAAAAAAAAACTGGGCAAGTGACAAAGAAGAAAAGAAAATCCAAACAACGTGACATCTTTACTCACAAGTTACTGGGCTGTAAGTTATACATAATAAATTCATCCTGAAGCAAGAAAGATCAACTAACAGAAATATACAACATCTAACAAGTATAAACAATGCATAATAGCAAGTATGTATCCTTTCTTACCTAGATTCCCTTTTATTTTCTAATGTAAATAAAAGAAATATAAAACATATATAGACTAATGGTATATAGCAATACTTGGTCTTTCCATGGTAAATAGAAGTGTCAATGTATACATTTCTCTGAAAAAGACTGGCTTATCGTATTGAAAGATTGTATAAATGACATGTAAAAATTCTTTCTATAATAAGCATAATTTAAAATCAAAATTTTCCTCAATAGATGAAGCATGGTTATGCTTGGATTTCTTAATTGAATGAACACTTAATACCCTTGAAAGAACCACCAACTTGAAGTATTAAAAATCATAATCACAAGTCATCTGTTATCACTTATCATGCATGCACATCCATTGGCATTTCAATTTATTCAATAGAGTTGGACATGAATTCCAGGAAAAAGGAAGTTTAACTCTGATTTTTAAGGCACTAATTCAAGCTAATATGTACAGTAGCCTAACTGGTATATTAACTCACTTGAGTGCAACCTCTGAACATTACATGACAACAGCATCTGATAGCAGAATTCCTCCAGAGGAACATAGTTAATCATTGTTTACAAAATTGCAATAAACATATTTTGCTTTGGTAAAATTTAGTTGAGTAAAATGTTAAGGGATGTGAAAATACAATTCATTGAGTTTCACTCAAATTCATTCTATAAAATGAGTAAAGTAACCCCCTTAGACATATTCTTATGTGAAACCCACAGATTATCATAGCACATACGAGCACAAACACACAAATGCAATTTAAGGTTCAAGAAAATTACTTAAGAGGGTTGCAGATGTAAGAACTAAAGGATCCCATTGCTCAATCCCCTCATTTCCAAGCTCTCTAATTGCATTAAACACTTGACTGATGGGAAGAACTGCCCCATCTGTACATGCCAACACAGCACCATGTGTCTTTGCACCATCCTGCAATATTCAAAAAGTTGAGTTTAAAATGTTTTTGCACCATCCTGCAATATTCATCATCTGCCTCCTAAGTCTACTTTCTAGCTGTGTGCCACAACGGGTAAGTAATCTATGATGCATTTGTTTAAATATGGTGCGAGATTGGAATTATTAGAAGAATCTGTGTAATTGAGGAAGCTTGAGACAGATTGCACACACTAACTTATAAGCTAAAAAGTGTCTTAATATAACTCTCTTATTGCTCTTCAAACCTGTCCATCAAAGTGAACGAATATTTGATTTTAATTTATTGCACTCTCTACGAAAGATTAAGTCCCCTTACAGCTGCGATTATTCCTTTCCTTTGTTCAACTAGCTGGTTTCTCAATAGCCTTTCAACATCAACATACCTCCACAATGAGATATTACACGCTCAATGAAATAAGAATCAACTTGTCAATTGCACTCCTATCTTTTTAGGTTACAGAGACATACATGTGTTATCTTCCCCCAATACTAGAATATAATTGCTCATATCATATAAATATCGCAAGATGAAAATAAAAATTGGTATAATTTCAAGTATTCCCAAAACAACACTAAGCCGACTTCAAAACGAGACGTTAATCAGATTCCATCGAACACTAGAAGGAATTTTTTTAGCCATCGAAATTGATTTCGTTAGATGGAAAACTCAAATCATAAGGGAATTAAAGCGTTGGGGAAGGAAGTGTGAATGCAATATAGACCTAGGAATAAAAGAAGAAAAAATAAACTAAAATCGTGATGAAGCGCAAAATCTTGTTATGAGAGAAAGAAAGAGAAAAAGGCACTAACCATTCCGATGGGAAGCAAAAGCGACAGCACGAAATCGAAGGAAGCTTGAAGACGAAGGCTGAGTTGCCGACTGCAGAAATTAAACCAACAGAGCGACCGGTGCGGCTTTTATAGAGATCTGCACATGCAAATCACGTGAGGGTTATAATTAGATAACAATGTTATAAAATACTGGTCTGAATCTTAAGTTGAATCGATTATGCATTCGACTCATTTTAAATTAGATTGAACTGGTCAATTTTTTGATTCGACCAATGAATCGATGAGTCAAATCGATTCAACTATAATTTTTAAATTTTTTTTTAAAGGATCACAAATCACAAAAATAACAATGAGAATTGAATATGTTAATAAAAAAACAAAGAGTCTTATTAAACATAAGAATGACTATTTTTTCTAATGTATTTGTTTATAATATATGTAACTTAAATTTTTTTGGTACAACAGGAAGTTAAAGAAAGAAAGTAAAGGAAAGAAATAAAATAAGAAACAAATCACGGAACCCCAAGACATGCAGATTACGTGATGGACAAATTATCTAACATCAGAAGATCAAGTACGTTATTTGGTGGTATATCCCAGTTCTCATCCCAGTCCTCATCCCAGTCAGCTTTTGTTGTGTTCCAACTTGCAAGTCTATCTGCGACCTTATTGGCATCTCTGTTTATGTGAACTATGGTGGTGAACCAGCTTTTCCTCAAGAGAATACGAATATCCTCAATGGTTCCACAATGTTTATGACGGTGACTATGGTCCTCCTTCTCTAAGGGGAGCACTTTAGTAACTTCCAAGCAGTCTGATTCACAAATAATATGCTTCCAACCCTTTTCCCAACATCTAGAAAGACCAGTCTTGATAGCAAGCAGCTCGGCTAGAATGTGGTCTCCCTTCCCAGCTGTTTTGGAAAACCCATAAAGCCATCTTCCAGCGCAAAATGAGAATTGAACCTTGCTCATGCAAGAACAGCCTTATCAAACATAATAATGATCACTTGTTCTAATATATTTGTTTGTAATATATGCAACTTAAATAACTTTTATAGCATATTACTAATTTTAAATTATATATTTAATAATATAATATCTATGTAGATATTACATATATTATTTTATGATATCAATTAGAAACATATTATATATGTACATATTATTTATATTTTTAATTTATATTAATATACAGTTTAACATGTAATTTTTTATGTATTTTTTTATACAAAATAAAAATAAAGATAATTTTAAATAAGATAGAAATTGAAATTTAAAATAGGATATGAATCTATTGAAAATTATAAGTAAAATATATTTAACATGAATATTTTTTAAAAAAATTTAATAAAAATCGAGTTATGTGATTCAATTAATGACCAACCGGTTTAACCTTTGATCCACTAACCTAGTACTCTAACCGGTTTGATGACCGGTCTAGTTTTTAAAACTATGATTTAAACAATATAAAGTTGACCCATTTTTATCAAAATATAACTAAAATAAAAATAAAGGTTTAATTATTTTTTCTTATAATTTTAAAATTTTTACTTTTTTAGTTCATATAATTAAAAATATTTTATTTTGGTTTTTATACATATTATTTTTATTCTCTTCTAATATTTATATTATGTAGACTTTTTTTTAAATTTTATAAAAAAAAATAGTAATTCAGTTTTTCAACTTTCCCTA